CAATTACCCATAACATCAAATGGAATATTATTACGGCAAGCATAACAATTATTAATTCCCGTTTCCCACTTAAGATATCCTTTCTTAAAAAGATAATCATAGTCACAAAAATATAATAAAGAGGTAAATCATCTGATTCTTTTTTAAAAATAAGTTAATTATTAAGAAATTATCTGCTTAATTAACTCAATCATTTATATATATCGGGTAACTGAAAAACATAATTAACAAAGAGATTAATGGTGGGACCAAACTACGCTGGAACCCCAAATTACATTAAAAGAAATACTCAATTAGAAGACTTCATTCATTATTCATTAGTAACTCATTTTGGAGTTGACTCAACTAACACCAAAACTTGCCTTTTATTCAACGTCTTTTGAGCCTCTTTGAATATATATCCACATTTCACACACATTATAAATTAATCATTTGTCCAAAGTACACTTCTTCCTTTTCTTTTTTTTTCCAATTCATTTCAACTAAAGTTTAATAATTCAAAACTATATTAAAAAATATTATACATAGAAATTCCTTTTTTCATATGAAAAATATAATACAATGTCAATTAAAAATTATATAAATTAACTCTCAAGATAGAAAACACGAAAAGTATTTTGAGATAGAGAAGAAAAAAAAAAGATAAGTGGATCATTGGATATTCACTACTAAAATTATACTTATTGGTAAGTACTCTCCACGAAATATTTAAGAGAACCAAGTAGTTCTTTAGTTTCATAAAGTAATAAAATTTTTATTTATTAGCTAGTTTTAATTTCCTCCAATGAATTAATTCACAAGACGTATTTCTTCCCAATTTTAAGTAATTTCGATTTGAGTATTAAACTTGAATGTAAAACATAATTTTAATTACAAGATCAAAGAGAGATTATGAGATTTGTTTGGTCAAGATACATAATTTTAATTACAAGATTCTAAAATAGTGACTTATTTTGATCATTTTTTATGATTTATTTAGATTTTGGATTCTATATATAATAAATATTAAGCAATAATTGATGAATTCTTTTTATTTTTTAATTTAATTCCTATTTAGAATTATTATTTTTTAAAATGGCATTGACTTAAAAAATATGTAGGATAAATTTTATACCTATTCACTTACAGTAATTAGATAATAGTTTGAAAAAGAAATATTGAAAACAAACTTTTTTGGTTATAAAAACTATCTTATCAAGTCATTGCATTTCTCTTAAATGTTTTAAAAAGGAAATATACTAATATCGAAATCATCTTGTTAAATTAGTGTCCTTAACAAGCTTATAATCAAATATAATACTACTCCCTTAATCCAAATTTACAAATATCTTAATTTAACTGACATAAAAAGCATTACTCATAAATAGGGAAAAATCAATAAGTAATCTTCCTAAATGCTAAACTTAAAGTCTTCTATTTTAATTGTTTTTTTTAATAATACTAGCTATTTACGTCCTCTATAATTATGATAGCGCCAAATTTAAATTATGAGAGAAAAAAATTAAAATAATTTACGACTTTTATATTCAAAGGAAACCCACCTGTGCACACAATTAAGAAATTTCCAAAAATAAATTAAAATCAAAATCAATCATAATCCTAAAAAGTCAAATTTCTTATTACCGGCTATTTTCGGTTACCCACCTTTGCTCTTCCTTTGTTATAAATACCCCTCACATTCATTTCTACCTCTTTAACCAGTTGCTCCAAAACCAAAAAATAACAGAGAAAAAAAAAATGGTTCTCCTAACACCACCACGAACTCCGGCCAGAGCTGCGACGGCGATAGCCGGCTCATCGAAGCGGCTTATGGTGAATTTTATCGGTTCGATGTCTTTGTTAGCTTTGTGGTTGAAAAAAGCAAGCCGAGGAATTAAAACTCATAAACTCGGGAGCGATTCGCCCAAATCGCCGCTAGCGAAGCCGAAGAAGTTCCTCGCGACGATTAGTAACAAAGCGGTTAATCTGAGGCATAAGAAGAAGGCGGAAAGAGAGATTGTTGATGAGGATTTCAGCGATGGAGGACTTTGGCAGAGGGGAATTTTGATGGGAGATAAATGTCAGCCGTTGGATTTCTCCGGCGTGATTTATTACGATAGCGAAGGGAATCGATTGCAGGAGGTTCCGATGAGATCTCCGAGGGCGAGTCCGATGCCGAATTATCTTAATTACGCTTCACCCAAAGTGAATTAGAGAGAGAAAGCATCAGTTAGTTGATGCTCTGTTTTTAGGCATGTAGTTTTTGTTCGTCAGTTTTCTCTCTGTTTTACAGCTTAAACTTTTTTTAAAGTTTTAATGTTTGTTTGGTTTGGGCTAATTACAAAAGAGATGGTGGATATATGAACTAGCTATCCTAATTTTCTATTAATCCGGTGAAAAATACTGTATAAAAAGGTTTTGAATTTGGTGGAATAAACTGAATTTGGGCTATTATATGCTTCAGTGGGATGTTAATCCAAATTATTAAGTTGCTATCAATTTGCAAATTCTTGTTCATCCAGGTTTAACCCCCACTGCGTAACTGGGTAATAGCCCGTATATTCTCTGCTATTCGAGTGAGCACTTTGCGCGTAATAGCCCGTATATTCTCTGTTATTTGAGTGAGCACTTTGTGCGTATTGGATAAAATTACATAGGCTTGATTCAGAAGATATTAAAGAGAAATCGATTCAGAATTATCTGTATGGATAATTATCCAGTAAATCAACGAAATCATCTTAATGAATGAAAAGTAATATTTAAAATCACAAAATTTATTAATTTTTTAAAAAAATATATCAAATTCAATGGTGCCACGGGAAACGAAAGGAAGGAAGTATTAAGCAATTAAGCTGCATGCTCATATCCTTTTCCGTTTTTATTTTCAAAAAAATTATTAATTTCTGTAAACTATAGTATACGTACTTAAAATTGTAATTTTTGAAATTTATAATAAATATGGTTAAGAATTGAGGTGATGGAAGAAGCACTTGATTATATATGTATTCGAAAAGGCAAAAAGGCAGTTTGATTAGGAAAATATTAAGTTATGTTTTCGATACCCACAAAAAATATAAAAAAAAGTGTGAACTTTATTTATCTATAAATACGAACACTATTTTATTTTCAGCGCAATCAAATAAGCTACGGTTTTCAATAGTAGAACTTGTTCCATATCAAAAGGCCACAATATCATGCCTCCAAAATTTTATATTAAAGGATTTAAACGTCGATTAAATCGTTGAAAATATTCCAGGGCAGATACGAATATTATCAAAGACATCATCAAGGGTTTTGATTCCCTTTCAAAACCCACCTATACATTATATATACATTATCAATTGCAATTAAATAATATAAAAAATTAAATATATAAAAATCAAACAGATACGTCTAAAAATTTAATTTCTCTTGATTAAGACGTTTTCAAAGAATTAAAGCATTTTTTAAAGCCATCAGCCGCAATAGTAGTACGCGGGCATGAACTCAGTCATCTCCTAATTCTTTTGTTTAACGAATAATTATGATTAAGTTAGTGACCTCGTCAACTTAATTAACTTCTTGTATAATAGAAATGGGTTAGTATGAAATATAAAAATAATAAGAAAGTGACACTTTCTCACGCCAATATCATTATATGATTAATTTGTAGTTGGAATTGAATAATTCAACTTTTGTTAAATTTTATTCTTTATTAATTCCTAGTTGGACAAACCTTTGCATCATAATTATGGTCTACGGGGAACAATAGTCTCACGTACAATTTCAACCACTCTATTCACCGAGAAACGATAAATACTCTTTCATTTTTAATTGAAGATATCAATTTCAAACTTAAAACAGACACCAATTTCTTTTTTTTTAAAAAAAAAATGACATGAGATCATCAATCTCTCCAGTCAACTATAAAGGCTTATACACAAAGCACCAATAGGCTAGGCATGAGTCATATGACTTAGTCCAAATTGTATTTTTTTTTCTTCCATAAAGAAGAAAAATGGAAGGTCAAAGTCAATTAATGTCTCATACTTGAAAAGTCCTAATCAGTATTAGGTACTTGCTATTAAGCTATTTATTGATAATTCCAAAAAACGAAATCTTTTTTTCTTTTTTTGCCCAAACATTGTAGTAATTGGTCTGTCATTTACATATATATATATATATCAAACGTGAGAATAAGACACTTGGTATTAGGTGGAAATTATTGCTTCTTTATCTCATATAGTATGATAAAATTTTTGTATCCACCACGCGTCACTATCTCCTTCATCTATATTATATGTATGAAATTTTGTGGCAAGAAAGTGTATAGGTGTTATTATGAAAATTGTGATATTGTTGGTTGATGAGCTTTAGCGCACATTATTGAGTGCAACAAATAATTGAGCCAAAAAAAATAATCAAAATGATGGTGCCCTTTAGGCACGGTCACAACATTATTATCATTTTTAGAAAAAATAGTGAGAAATAAGTTTCACCTTTTAAGTTATCTTATTCATATTTTTTAATTATTTATAAATTTTTAAAATTCTTTAATTTTCACGCATTAAATTAATATATCTAACTCTATCAAATTAATATAGAACATCAAATCAATCTAGCACATTAAGTTAATATAACATGTATACATAAATTAGAGTTAATATAACATGTATATATAAATTAGTGTTCAAGTGTTTCAGATACTAGCGACTAATTTAAGTGTATACATAAATTAGTGTTCAAGTGTTTTAGATACTAGCGACTAATTTAAGTGTTTCAGATGTATCTCACGCATCGTATTAATATATGAATACTTATACTTTTATATCACTTTGAAGAATCTATTATATCACTTTGAAGAATTTTTATAATTATTTCGTATCAATTGAAGAATTTTTATAATTATTTCCTATTAATTGAAGAATTTTTATAAGTATATCGTATTAATGTATGAGCGCTAATATATTGTGTAGAGGAAACTCTTGTGATTATAACCTAATTTGCACTCATTTTTATGAGTACGAGGGCCCAATTACCTCTATTAAATTCCATATAAAATAAATTAAAATCCTCAAATAACATCACTACATTCTATGTAAAATCAGAACACTACAACAGTCCGATTTTTATATTTATATAATTTTGTAAAAAAAAAAGCTCAAAAGAGAAAATTAACCCGGTTCAAACAAACTGAAAAAACGGCTTGATCCAGCTCAAGCACCAGGAGCTGCATCCTTCACTTTACTATGTAGATACCCGCCGTATTCTCTAGCGTAATCTTTGACATGGCTAGCCGTATCAGCAATTCGGCTTCTGGCGTAATCAACCCGGTCCGAACCGGGCGGGTGAAATCCCCTAATGTACCTATATAACCAAGATAGAGACGCCAGCGTGGCAACCCCAAATCCACAAACCGATAAAAATCCGGCAATGGCTATAAACAGAACAGTACCCACAGGGACCCAAATCGGGCTGGAGATTAGAACCAAAGGAGTGAAGAAGATTAAACCTAATATAATTGTGGTAAGTGTGAGTCCGGTGAGGAGGAGTAAGATCCCGCCGGAGATAATTAGGGTTAGAAATCCGACGAGTTGGGTAGAATTAGGGACGTGTTCTTGCAATTTGCGGAGGAATGAAGGTGTAGTGTTGAAGCCGGAGGAACGAGTTGGTAGCCTTTGTGGACGGCCGTAGTTGGGTTGTTGATCGGCCATTTTTGTTGCAGAGAAGGAAAGAGGGTATGAGAATGTTGGGGAAGAGAAAGTTTAGAGTGAAATAGAGGAGAGTTAAGGGAGAGAAGGATGGGGTGATGTGACACGTGTGAGGAGGTGGAGTACATGCAAGAGAAACACGTGGGAGAATTGGACGTTTTCTACTTGGCTGATTTACATTTCGAATATTTAATGGTTCATATTTTACTTACTTTTTACCATATGATAAAATAAGATATGACGTATGGCGTTCTATAACAATAGGATTATAACTTGCTTTGTAAATTGCACATTGAACCAATCAGTATAATGTATTTCTTTTGATGATCACAATCCTGTTACCGGGACTTAGAAGGAAAAAAAAAACCTTGTTATGACACAAGCGTTATTCATTATCTACTACTACTCTATCAAAACCTGTACATTAAACATATGGTGCATCTACATACAACAAAACATGGAGCTTCAGTTTCATCTATCATGATTTTTGTTTCTTGTCGGAACTTGCCATTGAACTTTCAGCTGCTGTAGCGGCTGCTAGTTCCATTAATCTCTCATAATCGATTTCAGTTGATTTATACTTCAACTTAAATCCGCTTTGCATCCATGACTTTACACAATGCAAAGCTTGAGTGCTACCGTAGGATGTTGAGAACCTTTGCTTATCTATCTCATCACCTTTGCTGCAGAAAAGGTCTTGAGGCGCCAAAGCAGTTGGTTGTGCAGCCAAAAAGTCTCGAGCCATGGATGATAACCGTGGGTAACGTGCATTGTTTACCTTCCACCATTCCAAGACATCTGTTGGTATAGGAGCAGGAGGTTCTGATAAATATTGAGTGAGCTCATCTGTGGCGGAGGACATGCTTGCTTTGCGTTTCTTACGAGCAATTTCCTCTGCAAAAGAAACACTTGCTCCATCTTCGAGCTCATGTGCAGCATAGGACCCAGATATACAAGGAAAATGACTGGTGGAATAGTTTCTCATAAAATGGCTTCTGGCTTCCTCCAAGTGATTCTCGGAATTGAGACTTTCAGGAATGAGCTCTACTTTGATTCTTGGATCAAGAATAGCAGTCATATAGGTGAAGGAGTTGCACATCTGCTCATTGTAGCTTCGAGCTTTCGTAGCCATTTCATCAGCAGCACTTCTGAGCCAGTCAGGGCTGTGTCGAGAGTCTCTACAGGCTGCAATTGTTTCAGAAATATGATCCATGAAAAAAAGAACCAAACCAACTGTGACTACTTTGTTTGTACATATGTCATGGATGGTTTTGTAGAAAGGTTCTAAAAATGCATGCATGATATTCACAGCATTCTTCTCCGCGTTGTTGAGGAGCACCCTACTGCCTAGTAGTTCATCATACTTCCGGAACATAGCTTCCAATGATTTACCTGCCTAAATGAAAAAAAATATATATAATTAAAGTCATCACTCATTTGTAGATCAAAATGTAAAGCAAAACCATATTTTTAAAATCCATTCTTGTGTTTCCTCTGTATGATGTCGTCCACTTCCAAATCTATAAGTAGCAAGACTCATTAACTCAATAATGTTGGCGTATCGATGTTTCCTTTGTCCAATCTAGTAGAGTCGAAGTGCAAATATTTTGAACTTTTTACTTGGGTAATTATCAAAGATTCTCTTTTTTAATATGGTAAGCTTTGTGCCCCTATTCAGAAGCTCAAAACAGTGGCTGCAAGTGGAGGGAGGGTCATTGACACTAATCAAAGTTTTATCTCTAAAAAGACATACATATCAACTTCCCGTTTCAAGCTGAACATGTATAAACCGACGGTTGCTAAGCATAGATTAGAGGTTGTTAATCAAGTATAGTCATGAAATCAGAGAAGAGTATAAAATTCATTGTCATAATACATTCAACACAATCAAAGGCAAACTAATTATAATAAAGATTGAAGAACTTCACTATAAAAATATGACACAGTTTAAGACAATGAGAAGTGAGCTTTGATCCAACATCACAGTAAACTCATACAAGTCAGATATGTGTGTGTACGCCTTGTTCTTAAATATTTTTAGGACAAACTAGCAGCGTGATATTTATAAGCATATTGAGAAAGAAAGATACCTTTCGTGCAATGTCAAGCATCTGGTAATTGCCACTCCAACGAGGTGAGGCATCAAGAGGGAATTTCCAAGTTCCTTCTTGACAAGCATTGCAGCATTGGAGAAAATCCTGAGAGATCTCAAAGGATGTGTTCATCTTTAGAACAATTTCTCTTATTTTAGAAATTATCGACTTTGTTGAACTTAGTCCATCATTTATGACTGAATTCAAAGTATGAGCAGCACATGGGAGATAGTAGAAAGGACTCATTTTCTGGCTATCCATATCTTCTTTGAGAGTATGGCACGCGTGCAGTGCAATCGGAGTATTATCATGTGTGCAACAGAGGACTCTATTCTCAATATTATAAATCTTAAGAACCTTCAACAAAGCATGAGATACTTCAGCAGCCCCACAAGGAGACGATATATGACAAATATCAAGGAGCAACTTTTGGAAGGACCAATTCTCATCAATCCACTGGCATGTCACACTCATATAAAGAAGTTGCTCGTAGGACGTCCAGAAATCAAGAGTTATACATACTTTCGAAGAAATTTGGTCTACTATCACCCTTACATCTTCCTGAATACTTCTAAAAACTTCGCAAAGTACTGATTGAAACTTCTCTTCAGGCCAAAGTTTTACCGTTGGATTGAGGAATTTAAACGAATTCAAAAGCCAATGCTCATCCAAAGTCGAAGGAGGAAGAGACGCGAGAATAAGCCACTTGACAAGCAACCAGTTCAAATGATCAAGCTCCAACTGAGGACCTTTGACATGAGGTTTAGGTTGAAGCTTCTTCACAACAGTAACAGATTGTGGTGCAGGACTTGCAACATTTACTGTTATATCATATCCTGGATGACGATTGCTAAGATGTTTCCCCAAATTGCCTAGTAAAACGAAGGAACAACATCAAGGTCTATACATACTGCATAACACCCATATTTAGTTTATAATTTCGAGCACATTCATTGTGTATGACCTATTTCACATGAAAATTAAGCATTTCTCTCGACTAATCGGGGAAAAAAAAGGTTTAAACATACCGGTGGCTGTTGCAATTGAATAACTCTGTCCACAAAATTTACATTTTCTAGTTTTTCCATCTGGTGCTGTTTCAAAATACTTTAGATACACTGATGTGAGTGCCTTTTTCCTAAGTTTTGTTGCAGGATCTTTCTCTGAAGATCCCGGCCCGATATCTATAGATTCTATGTTCAGGGTTGTACTTGGAGCTTCCACAACAGCAAGGGATTTGGATTCCATTTCTGTTACAGAACAAAGAGAATCAAAGAAGATGATTGCAATGAACTAAGTAGAGTGAAAAAAAAGTACCTTTTAAGGTCTTATAAGCAGTGTTGACATTCCAATCCATTGCGAACAAAATCAATAGCAAAACATAGAAATTCCACTTGTGTTGAATACTGTTTTTAGTGAGAGAAACAGAAAGAGAGAGAAAATGGGAAGGAGGAGTTGTAGAGGAAGAAATGGAGGGAAAGGAATTGAGTTTGAAGTGGAGAAGGAGAAGGGGAAGCTGAGAGCCAGATAGATTAGTGATGGAAGCCGATCTCAGATCCGACTGATACAGAACTTATATGTGGAGACGAAGCTTTAGCCTTTAGTTTTGGTAGAGCCGTCACGCCAAACCCTTGTTCCTTTTTCTTTTTTCTTTTTTATTTCTTTTTCTACTTTCCATAAAATATTACTACCCCTTTCTAGTTTGTTTCTACTCAATTTAGTCCTACTTAATTTAATTAAGAAAATGAGATGTGATTTGTCTTATCACACAATTTATGGTAATGAGAAATTTATTAATTCACTTTTAGTTTAGAATCAAAACATATAAATAACATTTATTTCTAATTTATATAAATATAATGTTATTTTAATTTCTCAAGTAAAACGATTAGCACTATGATGTGAGTCATTCTTTTTATTCAGAGAAATCATTAAAAACACTCCTCAAATTTGAAGAAAATAGTAATTTCATTCTCGAATTATTAACAGATTTAAAAACACTCATTTATTTGACTAATTAAGCTTAAATATATCGTTAATCTTGTAACATGAGTGAAATACACTCTAAATTCTCGTCAAGTAGATGTGTTTTCAATATTTCTCTCGACTTTTTATTAGTATTAAAATTCACATGTTTTTACAAGAGTTTGAAACCACTTGTTAGATCGAGAAGTATCGTTTTGATGTATTTGAGTTTAATTAATCGAATAGATGAATAATTTTACAATTTTCAATAAATTAAAAATAAAACTAATATTTCACGTTAAATATAAGAGCATTTTCAATAATTCTATATTATTTAAAATAAATCTGTTTTAACCTTCATTTTATTTATTATTAATAACATTCGCTAAGTATAAAATAAGTCGTGGAGCGCAAAAATTAACAAGAAAAATGTGTGAAGTGATGCCATGTCGACAGCTCAAGCTGTGGAGACTTTCACTAAGTTGGTTGCATCAACTCGGGACTCTCAGTTCACTAGCCGCCATTTTTCATTTATTTTAGTTTTTAATTTGTTTCTTCAAACTCTATTTTTATCATAGTATTATTTTTATAAAAAAAAGAATTAGTTATTTATTATAAAACTAGCAAAGTAATTTATGAATTATAGAATGTTTTAGAGTGTGAAAATAAAATAACCATTTCTCAATTTCGTCTTCCTTATCAAATTTATCTTTAACTAATAGTAATATTATTAGTTTAATTCTTTCTTTCTTAGTTAACTTTTGAAATTATATTAAATGCAAATAAAAAAATTAACATCGTAAGTTAAAAACTTGTCAAAAGAAGGTGTTTATTTTAAATTATCAACAACTATCATAAGAAAGAATTCTCGATATCATTAAATTATAAGCTTCAGTAAAAAAATTGTATTTATTTTTCATTGCTTTGTTTTTTCCCCATTCACTAATACCATTTGTTTTGGTAAATTTAGAAATAAGGATATTTTGTCGAAAAACGACCTATTTAAACATACATCACTATTATATATATTAATTTTACTTTCAATTTCAAATAATTACATATATTAATATTTTAAATATTTTATGTTATA